GGAAAGGGTGTGTTTTTTTTTTGTTTTTTTTTTTTTTTTTTTTTTGGTCTTTCTGAGACAGGGTCTCCATATAGCCCCAGCTGTCCTGGAACTCACTATGTAGACCAGGCTGGCCTTGAACTCACAGAGATCCACCTGCCTCTGCCTCCCAAGTGCTGGGACTACAGGCGTGCACCACCACCCCCGGCAACATATGTAGTTTTTTATGAGTTCTCCACACTGCTTTCCATAGGGGTTGAACAAGTTTGCAGCCCTACCAGCAGTGGATGAGTGTCCCCGTTTCCCCACTTCCTTAATTATTAGTGATGTTGAACATCTTTTAAGATGCTTTGTAGCCATCTTTACTTCTTCTTTTGAGAACTCTCTGTTCAGCTCCATAGACTGTCTTTTAATTGGGTTACTTCTTATCTTGATTCTCTGTTTTTTGAGTTCATTTGTTAAACCTCTTGTCAGATGTGTCACTGGTAAAGATTTTCTCCCATTCTGTGGGTTTTCTCTTCACTTCCCTCATTGCCTCCTTTGAAGTACAGAAGCTTTTTAGCTAATGAGGTCCCATTTGTTGGTTCCTGACCTTGTTTCCTGAGCAATTGATGTCCGGTTGAGAAAATCCTTTCCTACACCTGTATCTTGTAGGTTTTTGCCAATGTTTTATTCATGCAGTTTCAGAGTTTCAGGCTTTACATTGAGATCTTTGATCCATTTGGAATTGACTTCTGTACAAGGTGAAAGACAGGGATTTAGTTTCATTCTTCGACAGGTAGAGATCCAGTTTTGCCAGCACCATTTGCTGAACATGCTGTCTTTCCTCCAGTGAATGTTCTTGGCCCCTTTGTGAAATATCAGGCGGCTGAAATTGCATGTACTCATATTTGGGTCTTCAATTTTGTTCCATTGATCTGTGGGTCTATTTTTGTGCCCATACCATGTTGTTTTTAAGACTAAAGCTCTGTAATACAGCTTAAAGTCTGGTATAGTAATACCCCAGGCATTGCTGTTAGTGCTCAGGGTTGCTTTGGCTATCTTTTGTGCTTCCATATGAATCTTAGGATGGTTTTTATCCAATTGTGTGAAAAATTTCATGGGGATTTTGATTGGCATTGCATTGAATTTATAAATGGCTTTTGTTAGGATGGTCATTTTCACAATATCAATTTTTAGAATCCATCAGCATGGGCAGTCC